GAGTTGCAAGTTATTTTTCCTATTAAGCAATTGTATGCACTACTAATAGGAATTCATAAATTATTATCTGTTATGATAAATAATTTAATCAAGATCTTATTATTCAATAAGCCCTTCTTACATAAGAACTTCTGATAAGTAATTAAAATTTAATAAATTATTTACACTTGATTATACTTTTTGAAAGGTTCTTGTACAATTTTAAAGTGTTTGAATGTATTATGTATTGTTATATAAATATTTACAAAATTTTCTCATTTTGAAAAAAAAAATTAAGAACCAAATCATGATGTTTTTTTTATGTAGCCAAATCATGATTTGAAACAAGTAAAAATTTAAAAAGAAGCTAAATAATTAAAAAAAATTATATATACATATCACAAGTGTTCAAAATAAAAAATCTCAGTGTGACACTACAAATTTTAGGGTGTTGTTAATACTTTTAATTGATTATATATTGTATAGATTGTTGTTTTGTGTTAAGTGATTTTGAGATATGAGGATTTCTTATAAATTTTAGTAGTTTGAGGATTTCTTTATGCAGAGGTCTAATTTGATTATAAGGGGAGTTAGTATATAAGGTTTCTATTTAGAATTAAACCTCCTAAGTTTAATTCTTCAAAGATTTAGAGAGAGAAAATCTAGAGAAAAGTATTTTGGCTCGTGAGTCTTCTTCTCCTCTAAACCTTGTCTTGCAAGGTGATTCTTGTCCTTAAATCTCATTCTTGTGTTGTTTGTTGATTTAGGTCAATAAGAACCTGGAATCAAGTTGTTGATCCGTTCGGAGTGGTGTTGCAAATTGTACGGAGTTTTCTTCTTCTCCTCTCTAAATTTACTTAACTTTTGAGGTAAGGGGAGCTATAAATTTGTGTTTTGAAGAGTTGCTTATTGATTTATGTAGTTGAAAGTTGTTTGTATCCATGGAAATCGTGATTGTGTTGTCTGATATGGTATAGAGTGAATGTGAAGGTGGGGTTTTTGGTGTGGTGAGAAGCATGATGAAATGTTTTATGATTTGGATGAATTTTAAGTTGCATGTTTGACACGGTGCTAAAATTGAGTAGTATATAGTATGTACAAGTGTATTAGTGTGTTGCATGTTGGTTTTATTAGATTTCAGGTGAATGGAGAGGCAGATTCGTGTTCTGCTTTGGTGCAGAACACTCATCATGTCAGGTGCGCCTTTAAGGCACTAGGTACAGTTTCAACATGAGACCCTCTATCTTGTCACACCGGGTATAGGATTGGTAGCGTTAAGTGTGAGAAGAGAGACTTGTCTTGAGTTGAAATGTTGTCGAGCATGGTTTAAATAGTGTCAGACGTGAGGGCACTAGGAAGTCTCTGACTTGGTGACATCAGACCCTGGGTTGAGTGGTACCCAACGTGGCCAAGTTAGAACTCTTTGCATAGACGATGCCAAGTGCCATTAAATTGACGATGAGCATGAGACAAGCATAAACTCTTTGCTTAAAATGAGGTCAAGCGTGGGACTTTGTCACATTAGACGTGAGGTTCAAGGGGCCTTTACCTTATCCGTACTAGGCTCAAGTTATATAGGTCCAAGCGTGGGCGAGGTAAAGAGTTCCTTGTTTCAATGGCATCAAACACTGGTTGCTTAATGTAAACTAGTTGTTTAATTTAACAATTTGTGAAATGAGTAGAATAGATTAATCTATTTCATGTTTTAAGTTGCTATGTGTTATTTATTCTATATACATTGATATAGGATGATATCTATAGAGGATTGATTGTTAAAAGTTGGAATTTAAGTTGAGTGTATGTTGTGTAGTTGTATAGTTGTGTTGAATATGCTTTATGTATGTTGTGTTGTGTTGTTGAGATGATGAATATGAAGAATGCTTTAGGCATTTAGGCATGATGTTGAACATTGTGTTGATCAACTTAGGACTAGAGGAGAAGTTGTTTTAAAAGTTATATATCTCATTGTGTGAATATTGTGTTATGGTGCTCCAAGAGTCTAATTTATTAAAAATCCTTTTTAGGAAGTTGACCCTTGAAAATGTTAGTTAAGTCTTCTTTACAACCTTAGTTAGTATCGTATGTGGTCAAGTTTGATGCATACATATATAAAACGACCACAGTATAGGGGCAAGGTTAAGCTATACTGATTACAAGTGACCAGTTGAGTAAAATACAAAATCAGGAACTTAATTTCTAACCGAGTATCAGAAGGGTGTAGTATTTGAAGGATAGTCAGTGGACTAATCCCATAGGAGGCTTAGTTAAGTTAACTAATGTTGTAGTGTACTCATACTCAAGTTGTTTTACCCTAATAGTAGTACTAGACTTCGTAGTTTAAGTGGCGACATATGAAAAATTATGTTGTGTTGTGGATTGATATCCAAATTTATTGTTGATCTAGTAAACCAAAAGATCACCTTGTGTTGATGGTTCAGTAGAGACAAGCTATTTAGTTGAAATGTGTTATAATGCATATAGGTGTGTTATACATATGATGTGTTAATTTAGTTGTGTTGTTCATATGTAATGTTGATCTATGATGAAATATGTTGATGTGTTGAAAACTGAGTCATTAATGTTGTGTTGTTTAAGTTGAACTTGTGTTGTAGTAGATCGATTTGTAATGTTAATGCTGAAAAATATGAGATGTGATGTTATACCCTATTGCTCATATTTCTTGTTGTATATGTAGTTACTTTGAATTCTAGTTCACCCTTACATGTTTTCATGTGATTTAGATTGCGATGATCATACGTGATATGAGAGTAGAGTAAAGATAAATGTGAGGTGTTCCACTAAGGTGGTTTTTAAGAGGATGTTGATGTTGTTTATATTTTTTGTGCTACTATTGTGTACTAATTTGTATAAAAGTTGTTTAACTGACAACTTAGATTTATAGTTTTCATTTATTGAAATATTGTATCTATATTGCATATATTTGTAAAGTCATTTCACCTTTACATGTATGACATATAGTACACATTCATGTATCGATATGTATACAATTCTAGGTTATTAGTTATTTTTTCGCTATTAATAATTATGTCGTTAAGTGTAAGGATAATATGATAGGTTGTCACACTTGGATCATAATTTACCTATTTTTAATTTATTAAAGATAAATTAAGAATCATAAATTAAAAATAAAATAAAATAAAATTAGTTCCACACACATACATTTATACGATTAAATATGATATATATATATATATATATATATATATATATATATAAATAAAACAATTATTAAAAAATAGTGTACACTTATCCATAGTTTTAAAATTTAAATATTTAATAATCAAATATAAACTTAAGTGTTAAAATTAAAATAACATATAACATTAACAAAGGGCATGTATTTTCAAGCAAAATTTATATAAAATAATTAAAAAAAATGATATCTTAGGTTATGCGGTCTTTTGAACAAGGACAACATTTAATTTAACTTTAATATATATTTTTTATTACAACAACCTCTCCAATTAAAAAATAGTCTAAGGTTAACTAAATTAATAATTAGAAAATAATTCGATCTATACAAGCATAAATATACATGTTTATGCCTTCAATCCTCTTTATTTATACAAGTAAGAAAAAGACATTATGTGTCTTGTAAAAAAACAAAAGAAAATGATAATATTTGAATGATATTTTTTACTACTTTAATATTTATAACAGTTTTTGACAAATTTTTTTAGAAGTTATTAAAAATAAAATAGATATATAAATTATGGATACCAAATAGAATAATCTCCTTTATTACTAGTATAGATATTAATAATGATAATTTATTAAAAAAAATATTCACTAAAATTACAATGACAACACTAAAATTTGTCTAAAAATATTTTATAAATTGAAAATGAGTTTTTACAGAAGTTAATAAAAAAAATATTATTTTTTTGAAGAAAGATAAATTTAACTTATTAAAAAATTATTTTACTTTATTTTTTTAGTTTTTTCAACAATAAGTATTATTCAAAGACCCTATATACAAATCAAAGTTTACTACATCATGACACGTGTCTCTTTACCCGAATAAGACCATTGTAAGCTGAGTAAATAAAAACGAATCTACCCTTCATTCAGTTAAAAGGCACTGTAATATTAACCCATTAAAAAATAGAAAAGTAAATAAATTCTAGATCACCTTTAAAGGATCTTATTCTCCTTATTAGTCCACCACTGAAAAAAAAAATTATATATATATATATGACCTTAATTCAAGAATAAATCTATTTATAATTACTCCACTCAATATACATACACACCCACAATTATCCCTTCTCATGCCTCCATGACAATATAGCCTTAAAGTGAATTTGTAAACCAGTTAAATTGAACACAACTGAGGCTGAAAAAAAAATTACATTTACAAACTTTTACTTTTTTTTACATTAAAATAAATATTTTTTCGTTGAACATAATTTTAAATCAGTAAAATTACATTTACAAACTCTTACTTTTTTTTACATTAAAATGAATATTTTTTCGTTGAACATAATTTTAAATTAGTATCCAATCATGGACTTAATCTTTGGTAGCATCAATGCAAATCCATGCTGTTTTGGGACCATCATGCTGTTCCAAAATGCTCCATGTGTTACATACATACACCAAAAACAAAATCCAACTCAAGTAGATAAGGATGTACCAGATACCCACCACCAAACAGTTTTGTTTGCTTCAAAATTGTAATACCTCATGCCTAAACTTTCTATATACCTAAATGATACTTTACAATCATAGGATACCTATAAAATAAGTTTTGTGTATGTACATATAGGATTAGAAAATAAAATACATTTTTTTCCATAAACTAAAATGAACTCATCTACCTTAACTTTTAAAAATATTAAATAAAATGAAAACTTCTACAAAAACTAAATGCATAAATTAATTTTACTGGTGTAAATAGCTTATACATTTTACCTTGTTTTCTTCTCCTGTAAGTATTCATATATAGACAAATTTATCCAAACATGCAATTTTTCAAGGACTACCATCATACTTCAAAATTATAGCAAGAAAAACAAAACTGTCACATTTAATAAGATTAGATGATCGCGTACAAAATTGTATCTTGGATCTAGTTGTATAGTAATGGACTAACACTTCATTTTCTTTTCCAACCTTCAACTTCATACAAGGAACTTTTTATACCTTGGCTATAATTTAATACTTACTCTAAACAAATCAAGCATTCTGTACTAAAACTACAACCTACAAAGATGGCGGAAAGAAGTGATCTACCATCAAACTGCCATTACTGATCATTCATCGTCATCATCGTCAGAACTTGCATATGCTAGGCCCAGTAATCCCCCGCCAGAGATTTCAGCCTTAGGCGTGGCTTCGGCTTCATGTGACCCCAGTGAAGCGTGTTCCTCGGCTTTCTTTGATCCAGACAAAGGTTGCTCCTCCACTTTCTTTGGTCCCGGCAAAGACTGCTCCTTCTCTTTCGGAGGATCATGATCAGGCTTACGAGTTGTGAATGGGGCATTACTAGATGCTAGTGTTGGCTGATTGCTGTCAGATCTTGGCCGCTTAGGTTTAATCTCAACAACTTTCTTCAACAAATCTTGCTGCCTATATCACAAAAAATATAAGTGCCATGAACAATACTGACGTCGAGAAAAGACAATAACTTGCGTGGAGGGATAAGAAGGATTGAAAGATCTACCTGATCCCACTTTTTGGCTTCGGTTCAACACGAAATGCCAATGGTACTGATGCAGGTGAAGAATCTGCTAAACTTGCAGCTCTGTATTCATTGGTGAAGGGAAAACAAAAGAATATGTACAAATTAAGCACAAGCAATTTTATCAGAAACAGTTTTACTAAGTATCATTGATATATTTCACAAACTACAACAAAAAAGGCACCGATTGTCAAAATGCATAGGTCGCATTTTGGTAAATCAGTTCAGTAGAAGTTCTTTGGATCAGACATCTGTTTCAAAAAATGTAACAATTGTTTAAACTTATCGAGTCTAAGTTTTATATTAAAGCAGTAATACAATCATAAAGCTTGAAATATATATATTTCAGTCATTCAAATTGTGAATTTTTGTTGATAGTCAACAAAATGGGACAATAATTTGATTTTATTAAGAATGGGAGCTGAACTGTGTCCACTTCCAGCACCAAATAACCATTTGAGCTATTAATATCACAAAATTAACGAAGTATCAGTGCTATTACATGTCACTAAATTCAACTATTCAAGTGACCATTTATTTATAGGTCCATTATTTTAAACCTTGGTGGAAAAAAAAAAGGCCAGGAAGGAGAAAATTTTAAATTTACACGACAAGGATGGGAGAAATTATATACCCCCAGCAACAAAGACACCACAATGCTAGAAGAAAGATCAAATCCTATTCCAACTCATACATTATTTCTTCACCAGTGCACTTGCATGCGTGGCATTCAATGTCTCAAATGTAAGATTCACTGCACAGTTTCAAAACTTGACCAGACCAGCCAGTTTGACCGGGCTGACTGAACCAGCTGAAGAACATAACTGGTCTAACCATGTGAACAAGTCAAGGTATGACCAGTTGAACCAATGCAAGCTTAATGGGGGCACAGCTAGAGACATGCACACAGGGATTCAAACCCTGTCTGGCAATTAATGCATCTACCATCATACCACTAAGCGAGGACCCAGCTGTTACAAGTTCAAGTAAATCGTTATGTTTATAGTATTTCTTTAACACGTGAAAATAATTTTAGAGACTCCTCATAAAAGGAATCAAACTTGGGCCACATACATGAGCATGAAACTATATACCAATAAACACTGCTATATTTAGATTTACTGATAGAAATAAGTTTATTATAGAACATATTGAGATATTAATATAGAGTAACATTCATTGATTGTAATTTTGTAATAACTGATTTATCATAAATTGCTTCTATCATTATATAGATATTTTAAATATACTTTTACTTACATACTTAACACATATAGGCTATACTTTTTATATACTAGTATACGTTGATATGTCAACATGTTCAAAATCCTGGCTCAAACCATCCTAAAACCTTATACATCTCCCCATACCAGTTCATAGACAGATCCAGATTTGAGTACATTGATTCACAATTTTCAAGCAGCATTGAGATCAAACACTAAGAACAATACGTGCAAATTGCAATAAAGAGTAAAGCAAGATACATGTAATTGTAGCACAAAAATCAGTTTCAACCAAAGCTGGAGAAGAAAACATGGATTGTTGTGTTGCAAACTTGTAATGACTACAAAAGGATATCTTAAATGCAGCAAATGCCCGTTTTTCCGTGCGGCGCAGGAGGCGTTCTGCATCCTCCTCAGCTTCCATTTGCTCCTTGAGATAAAGTAGATCATCACTGTCCAAAGCTGCATACTTAAATTTTAAAAAGAGAAGAAAGAAACTAAAGATGATATATGAGCAGAAAACAAAAGCAGGTGGAGCGGAAGCACAAGCACCACACAGACACACACAAAAGCAAGAGAAAAAGAGCTGTACCGCCTCGCCCATGAAGGTAACCTCCACGCTCCCCAGCAACCTCTTGCATCTGCTTGCATCAGCCACCCAATACAGGAAGCCAAGATCCCTGCCGGGGCATGTTATCAGAAGAATCCCTCAAATTGCACAAAAAATTGCTTGAAAGTAGAAAACGATATAGACAGGTAGTACATAACCAAAAGAGAAAACCAACACAGGAATTGCAAAATTCTGAATGGCTACGTTCCTTAATCAGGAAAGATTAAGTTCAAAGAAACCACCTACAAAGCTACATTAAACACCCAATACTGATTCATCACTTAATTAAAAATTAGTTCATGCATAACACCTAGTTTCATGCTGAGATGTTCTGTAACTTCTATTCATTACTAGAAATGAATTCACTTCACTCAAAACTTGTTCTTTGCTTAAATTTTTTTATTAGTCTAGTTGCTACATTATGAAAATTGGATTCACATTATGATTTTAATACTTTTCTCTTATATTTTTAGATTTCACTAAATGATATACCATTACCATCCCATATCCATAGCATATTTTTTAAAATTTTGTAGAATCCTCATACCCGTACCATACCAATGCTAGTAACCATATCATGCAACACAGCTACAGCCTACAAAGCTTATTCTAAAGCTACTATCTCATTGTCCATACAACAATTATGACAATCAGAGAATAGTCTCATAAATAACCACAGAAACTGAATTTTGGACACAGAGAAAATTCATGATAACTAATTCCAAATTACCATCAAACATTAATTACAAGGGTTTCTTATACTAAGGATCATAAGATTAGATTAGCTCCATCAGAAGAATAAACTATACATGCGAAAGGGTACGCAAATTACATCTTACATCACATATATACACACATGTATCGAAGAGAACGGAAGGTGAATCAATGCGCTAACCTTTGCAACCATGCGTTGGAAAGTAATGTCTTCATCGTCAATCTTATCTTTTCCTTTACCCCATTTTTTATCTGCGAAATCAGCACACACCCAGAAATTAAAATCGACGAAAAATCAAAACTTTAAACAATTGAAAAGTTTGAAAAAGAAATTGAGATGGAATGAATACCTTTGGGGTCGCTGAGGTTGGTGTATTCTCGAACCTCTCTTCCTGCCATCTGCAGAAAAGTCCGTTAGATGAGTGGAAAGTGATGAGAGGAGAGAAGAGTGAGTGTCTGAAATTTTCGATTTGATTCCTTCGCTGCGTGCCAGAGAGACCCTTCAAAGGTGGAGATAGACGACGCTTCTAGAACGTAACTCTCTTCTTTTATACTTTTATTATCACACTACAACGTCCTAACTTTTCTTATATTAAAAGACAATGATATACTACTAGAGAAACAGATAAATTCGGACTTTTTTTTTAATATATCAATTTTTTTTATTTTTTAAAATAATTTCATCCTCATTTTATTTATTAAAATGACCTATTTATTATTTAAGGTGAGAAATCAGTTCCCCAGTTCTTATAAAACATTTATAGGCATTATGAGAAATCGGTTGTTAAGAAATTTTAACAACTGATTTCTCAACAGCCTTACTTTTCTATTTTTTTTTGTTTTTGTTTTTTTTATTATTATTATTTTTTTTTTATTTTTTCGTTTTTGATTTTTGATTTTTGTTTTTTTTTGTTTTTGATTTTTTTTAGATTTTTGATTTTTTTTTCCAGATTTTTAATTTTTTTTATTTTCGTATTTTAATTTTAAATTTTAAGTTTTTTTTTTAATTTTTTAGTATTTTTAAATAAAATAATTTAGTTAAGTTTGACTAGGGATGGCAACGAGACGGGTCGGGTACGGGTTTCATGATACCCATCCCCATCCCCGCGAGTTAAACCCATCCCCGTCCCCGTCCCCATACCTATCGGGTATAGATTTTCATCCCCATCGTGGGCCATTCTTGGATAGCCTTTATTTTCTCGGAGTCAACTTGTACTCCCTCTTTGCCAACTATAAAGCCCAAAAAGTTTACTTGCTCTTGGCAAAAAGTGCATTTTTCAAGGTTGGCATAGAGGTGATTGACTTTAAGAATTATTAGGACTTGCCTTAGATGTCCAAGATGTTCATTTAAGGTTTTGCTATATACAAGAATGTCATCAAAGTAGACGACCACAAATTTTCCTATGCAATCCCTAAGAATATGATTCATTAGGCGCATGAAAGTACTAGAGGCTTTAGTGAGGCCAAAAGGCATCACTAACCACTCATACAAACCAAATTTGGTCTTAAAAGCGGGTTTCCACTCATCACCCTCTTTGATTCAAATTTGGTGATACCCACTTTTAAGGTCAATCTTGGAAAATATGATGGCCCCATGCAATTCGTCTAACATATCATCTATCCTTGGGATTGGGTGCCTATATTTTATTGTTTAAGTTATTGATGGCTCTAAAATCAGTGCACATCCTTCATTTGCCATCTTTCTTAGGCACCAAGAGAACGGGGACGACACAAAGGCTAAGGCTCTTTTGAACCCAACCCTTCTTCAACAAGTCATCAACTTGAGCTTCTGTCTCTTTGGTTTCTTGAGGGTTAGCCTTATAGGCGAGCCTATTAGGAAGACTAGAACCCGGTATGAGGTTTATTTGATGTTCTATTCCTCTTAAAGGTGGAAGTCCACTTGGGATTTCTTGAGGAAATAGGTCATTAAACTCTTTTAAAAGTTTTTGAACCTCATGAGGTAGAGACTCAAGCTCATGACTAGTGGCAGCAAGTGTCTCTTTGAAATAGAGAAGGCACAAAGGTTTTTCAATCAAAAGTGTTTGGTTAATGTCATTTTTAAGGGATAAATGACTTTTGTGAACAACTTCTTTAGAGGGGACATTTGCCTCTAAACTTGGCACCTTCTTGAGCATTTAATGGAAGTGTTAAAGATAATATTTGAACCCTCAATTTTTTTCTCACCGCCATCAAAGCCACAAAGTCATTTGACTCGTTTAATTTATATATAAAAAAATGTATTATATATATCATAATTATATATTATACTTTTGAATTTTAACCTTTAAGTAAATTTTTATATTTTTATTAAAATATTAAAATTTTAAATGATAAAAATATTAATTAAATATTTAAAATCAAATTACAATTATAATTAAAAAATTAATTATTAATATATTTTAATAAAATTGGGTGTGTAATGTTCAATGTACTTTATTAAAATTTTGTGTGTGCACGTGTGTACATTCTGTATGTGTGTGTGCCTACACGAGTGTATGTGTGCATATACGTTTGTACGTGTACATGTGTGGACGTGTGTGCATTTTTATAATTATTATATTGTTTAATAACTTTTAATTCAATGATATTTTTGCAAAGTTCACTATTAGATTGAAATTTCATGTATTGCGTCCCTTTTAGAGATGGCAAACATACCCGTATCCGCGGGTAATACCCGAACCCGTCCCGACTTTGACGGAAAATACCCGGTTTGACCGGGTACGGGTACGGCCATCGGGTATCGGGTATACCCGTACCCGTCAATTTTTTTATTTTTTATTTTTTGTAAAAAAAATGATATTAATTTTTAAATTATTTTTTTATTATATTCTAATTATAATTTGGAAATAATGAATAGGGCCATGAGAGATGCAGAATTAAAGGCTAATAGTCATCATGTCCTTGAATTTGATCGTTACGGTACACGTTTCCTGGTGCAAGAGACCATTAACCCAAGGGAAACACGACCTACTAGAACTTTCACGGTTAGACTACATGATAAGTGGTGTCATTGTGGGAAATTTCAGAAGCTACACATGTCATGCTCCCATGTTGTTGCTGCATGTAAGCATGTTCACCATGATTATAAATCTTACATAGATCCGGTATACACATTACAATATGTTTCAAATGTGTATAACAAATTATTTGGTGAACTGCCCAATGAATCTTATTGGCCGGATTGTGAAGAACTGCAAGTCATACCAAATCCGGAAAAGATTAGAAATAAAAAAGGTCGTCTAAAGTCATCAAGAATACGCACTGAAATGGATATGGTTGAACCAGGACAACCAAAAAGATGTTCTTTCTGTAGAAATGTAGGTCACTCAAAGAAGAAATGTCCTTACCGCCAAGGGAGTTCAAGTCACCAAGCTTAAAATGTCATCAAACCTTCCAAATATTGTATTTTGTTTTCTAGTATTTTATATAAATATTTTATCTTTTGTTAAAAATTTTAATTAATATTTATTTCATTATTTATTTAATTAATAATTATTTCATTATTTATTTTTATTCTAAAAACTTAACTAAATTATTTTATTTGAAAATACTAAAAAAATTTTAAAAAAACTGAATATTTAAAATTAATATACGAAAATAAAAAAATTAGAAATCTGAATAAACAAAATCAAAAATATATAAATAAAAAAAAACCAAAAACAAAAAAAAAAAACCAAAAACGAAAAAAAAAAAAAAAGGCAAGGCTGTTGAGAAATCGGTTTCTTAACAACCGATTTCTCATAATGCCTATATATGTTTTATAAGAACTGAGGGTGAGAAATCGATTCCCCACCAACTGATTTCTCACCTTAAATAGTAAATGAGTCATTTTGATAAATAAAATGGGGTGAGGTTATTTAAAAAAAAATTAATATATTAAAAAAAAGTCGATAAATTCGCAGTTAAAAAGTCGATAAATTCGCGGTTAAATTTTATTTTGATTTCAATTTTTATATTTTTTTAATTATCTTATTTGGATAAATTAATTCAAATTTTTTAAATTTTTAATCTTTAATTTAGATAAGATAATTTAATTTTTATTATGGATGAAATTAATTTTAAACAAATAAATGTGTTGAAAATTTAAGATTTAATTTTATAAAATTAGTAAATTTTTAAAAATATTTTAAAATAAATAAATAAATAATGTTAGATAATATTTAATAATTTAAAAAATAATTTTACATATTTAATAATTAAAAAAATTAAATAATTTTTATGTCAACTTTGAAAGATAAAAGAGAAAGGTAGGAAAAAAAAAAAGAATTTCAATTTCTTATAGGGGAATTTGAAATTCTACATTCTTTAAAAAAATTCACAAATGCTTGAATTTTAATTTTTTTTGTAATTTCTTCATATAAATAAATCATTTCACGTAAAAATATTTGAAATTCTTTAGAAAATTAAATTATTCCACTAAAATTCCTGATCTAAACACATTCGTAAAAAATTTAGATACTAAAATAATTTTTTTTATTAATTATTAGTATAAAAGAGATATTTTATATATATATATTATTTAAAAATAAAAATATTACATCACAAATTACTTATAAGTTATAAAGAAGTAGGATGCAAACATAATCACATCACTAATCTTAATATAATGCATTTATGTCACTTTAAGATAGAATAAAGTATTAAAGAAAATATACAAAAGATCATACAAAACTCTAATTGTGTCACTTAGAGCATCTTTAGCGTGAGTTCTTACCTCATATCTTATAACTAAGCACATGTTGCTAACAAGCAACTAGTGTTGGAGCACTAAGTTGGCAAGTTAAGTTGCTTAAAATTATGCATCCTCCCTTATATAAAGCACGATCACTTAGATTAAGAAAATGATTTAATTGCTCAACATCAAATACTAATGAACCTATGTAGTAGTGAGAACCAAATTATAGAGAACCTCCGCATCATCCAAATCCAAAATCACATTGAACCTCCATATTAGGAGACTATAATCATGATCAACCTCCATTTTTTTTAACCAAATTATAAATGAGGAACTTGTACACAACATTGACGAAGAAATAATGAGGATAACACTTGAGATGTAACAACAATCTAACAACACTACTCATCAAAGAAAAAAAAAAGGAAAAAAGAATGATGATAGATCAGTGTCATGAAGAAAGACACAATCAATTGTTCAATGATTACTTCTCTAACAATCTAGTTTACATAGATTTTCAATTTCAACGAAGGTTTCGATTGCAAAGACACGTGTTTCTTTGAATTGTAGAAGCTCTTGGTCATTATGATGAATATTCCCACATGAGGGTTGATGCAATTTGAAAGAATGACCTTTCATTGTTATAGAAATGCACCACTTCCATTCATATATTGACATATGGATCAACTACTTATAGTATAGATGATTATGTTCAAATTGGTAAAATCACTATTGTGGAAGGCTTAGAGAGTTTTGTATCAAGTGTATGCACCATATTTGAGGATGAATACCATATGAGGTCTACCTATGAAGACATTGAACAACTACTTCAAATGGGGAATGCATGTGGCTTTCCAAGTATGTTAGGTTCTATTGATTGTATGCATTGGAAATGTAAAAATTATCCAATCACTTGGAAATGGAAAATTTGTCCAATCGCTTGAAAAGGACAATTTTGTCAAGGTAATCATGACAAACCTACAATCATGCTTAAAAGTGTGACATCACATGACTTGTGGATTTTGCATGCCTTTTGTCAGAACTTGAAAGTAATATGTTAAATGCTTCAAATGTGTTTAATGATGTTTTGTCAAAACAAACTCCTATTGTACAATACGCAATGAGTAAAACCCAATATAGTATGGGATACTATCTAGCCGATGATATTTATCTAGAGTGGACTATATTTTTTAAGACCATGCCACAATGAGAAAAGAGAAAATTAATTGTCCAACAACAAGTATTGGCAAGAAAAGATGTGGGACGAATCTTTTAGAGTATTGCAATCTCAATTTACAATTGTATGTGGATCAGCACATGCTTGGCATGTCAATACATTGAAGAATATAATGTATGCATGCATCATACTACATAACATGATTGTTGAATATGAGAAACACACATACAATATCAATTTTAATTATGATAATGGTGGTAACAAAGTCTCAACTATCGATATATCTAATGGTTCTCATCCTATTTTTATTGGAACATACTTATAAAGGAAAACATATTTTCGTAACAAACAACAATACTGACAACTTCAAAATGACTTGATGAAACATATTTGACAATGTTTAGGACATGAAAATAATGAAAATTAGTGGATATTTATTGCTATAAATAATTTATTATTTTCTATTTCTAATCTTTGTGTATTTCTATTTACTATGTATTTTCTTTATTTTTAATATTTAATGTTTAATATTTTTATGCACATTAAAATAATTGTGTGAATTTTTTATTAATTTTTTTATGTTTGTTAAAATATTATTTAGTATGTTTAACTAAATTAATATTTAATTATAATAATTAAATTATTTTTTAAGTTGATATAAATAAAAAAATTATAAAAGTGAAGGATGTTTATAAGAACTATCCATTAAAATAAAACTTGTAAAACTATAATATGAGTTGTTTAAAAATAATATAGTATCACGAATTCCATTTAAAATAAAATAAAAACTCTAATGAATTACTTATGAGAATTTAACTAGTGATATTCTTAATCAGTGAGGATCAGACATGCTTGCGTTTTAATATTAGTTATGATACATTTTAAGAACTGATTTGTATTATTCTTTTTGATGTTTAAATTTGGTTCAATGTCTTATAGTATTTTAAAAAATCAATTTGTTAACAACTGTATATTAATAATAAAATTATTTTATTTAATAAGTAATATTTTATATAACATGATATTATATTTAATAATAATATTATTTATTATAAAATATATCTTAATTTAATTTTTATTTAACAATTTAGTCATATATAATTTTAATATTGATATATTATATTAAAATGTCAGAGTGATATCATTCCGTCTCGTATTTTTTTTAGGTCTCAATCAGGTTGAGTGGAAATTCAAATAAAGGACCTGACGAAGTTTAGAGTTAAGCAGAGACAAAGAGAAATCAAACGTAACCCATCTCAACTCACCTTGTATGTGTGAAAATCACCCTTATGCTTCGTTTGGTAAATTAATGGGAAATTAAAATATGAATGTTAGGAAATAAAGAAATAGAAAAAAAAAAAAAAAGTGACGGGATCTACCACTTTTTTTTTCTTCACTCAAACTAAAATAAATGACAGAAATAAATTATTAGGCAAAATTTAATCGAATGGATATTTAATCGATTAAATTTTGATTTATATGCGAAATAAATATACATGCAATGTATATAAATTGATGTTTAATCAGTTAGCGCTCTTTTGCAATCAATTAAATATTTTTCATTTAATTTAGTTTATTAATATAAAAATAATAGATTAAAAATTAATTTTATAATTTTTTATATATATATATTTTCTTTAATCAAATAATTTTATTTTTATTTTATTTCTTACCTTTTTTATATATATTTTTATATACACTAACTTTTTTTTTTACATGTTCCTTTTCATCCTATCAAACATAGATATTTATTATTTATTTTCTGTTTCCCTTAAACAAAATATTCCAAATTTCACTTTTTTTATTCATTTTCATTAACCAATTTCTTGTTACTTTATTTTTCACTTATTTTTTTCTTCATAGTAAGTAATGAACATTGGAGTATGGAAACCCTAGACTCAATTGATGCATGCTATACAAGCTTTCATGAATAATTTACATATTACAATATACAAGTGTGAAAACAGAATTTAAACTCTGAAACACATGGTTGTGGTGAAAACTGAGTGAGTGTACTCAGCAAAAACATGAGGCAGAGAAAACAAATACTGAAAAATAGTGAAGAAGTTGGTGCATTTTGAGATGATAGAACATTTCATGGCTTAACTTGTTTCATTAATAATATCATCATGTCTTCTGGTTAGGCGAATTTCAAAACCATTGACCAATCTAGCAGAGGGAAAGAATGACATGCTATCTTCCTTCATCTGAGTCCATCTGTTGATCAAAACATGCAACAACATAGCTATGCTTAGATTTCCTACTTTATGCTTTTGCCAAACATTATGTAGCATTTCTCTTTGTTAGTTGATGCATATATAATTTGTATATCTTTTGGGGCATAAAATGTGTATAGCAGAGGCATTACCTATAGTTAGTCAGAAAGCAATGAAGAAAAAGAGCAATTTGAAGGCGAGCCAGTTCTGCTCCTGGACAAAATCTAGCACCTCCTCCAAAGGGTGCATAGAATGGACTACTTCTCCAGTTTCTCTTTTCCTGCATTCAGATCACAGACCATACCAATTAACAAACAAATTAAATGCAAGTAAAGAATTATATCAAATATGCAATGTGTATAAGTGGAATTTCACTCAATTTTTTTAGACTAAATTTCAAGTTCCAGTATTATGAATTGGAAAAAATGTAATTAAGAAGGTAGATTCTACTAAAAGTAGCAGAGATCATATTATAGAGATTAATTATCTACAAAAATCAATAAATATTTTACATCAATCACATAGATAAGAAAAATAAACTTAAATACATTTTTGGTTCTCAAATTTTAATTGAGTAATTTTAATCTCTTAAATACTGTAATTGTGTAATTTAAATACTACAATTATATGATTTATTATCAATTTAAGTTACATATATTATTAATTTTAGTGATAATAAATATATATCATCTAATAGATAAATAAAAATTATATTATATGTAACTTAAATAGGTAAGAAAAATGTATAATTATGGTACTTAAGACAGTAAAATTATACAATTACAATATTTTAAAGACTAAAATTACTTAATTAAAATTTAAAAATTAAAATTGTACAATTATAATATTTTAGGAATTAAAATTACTCAATTAAAATTTTATGGATCAAAATTATATAATTACGATAAATAAAAAACGTGCATATAATTAAAATATGTTATGTGGACTAACCTCATTTTCTGGCTCCATCCATCTCCAAGGATTGAAGTTTAGAGGTTCACTGTATACATTCTCATCTAAATGGACTGCTGAGAGAAATGGAACCACAAAGCACCCTTTCGGAATAACAAAATCTACTCAAAAGCAGATAAGTTGCTTGGTGTTATTTAATTTATCAATATACTAATAACTAATAAATATTAAAGTGTCAATTAATATATCATTGGATGTTCATGTAAAACATAATTTCCTTTAGAAATAATTTACACTCAAAATCTTATACCTTGATATTGAACGTCTTCTTTTGCTTCTCTCATTAACCAAATTGCAATACCCCCAAGTCTCAGTGTTTCATCAATAACCTGTTCTTGGAAGACAAAAACATGAAACGTTAACACACTATTATTTTCTATGACTTAATGTATGTATAGACTTCGAGTTTAACTAGTACCTTTCACAAGAAAATATTTATTTATGGTACAATATGAAACTATAGCATTGACAACTATGTTATTCATTTCTTCTCATGAAACAATTTTAACTGCTCTGCTGCAAAATACTTCAAATCCTTATTTCTCTTACTAATTTACATTTACATCAACAGTCCCTATTCTTTTTAGTTTCTCAATAAATAAGAAACTATCGGTTACATTCTAAGGCACATTTATCAATTACTCAAAATAATGAATCACTTCTAGTTAATTATTATAATGCAACACACTTTTTCTCAATAAATATTTCCACAAACACTTGATTGGTTTCTCTAATCACGTTGACAATATTTTAAATCTTACAAAAATACACACCATTTAAAAGACTTAATATTTCTCTTTAATAATATGCAATGTATTAAAATTAAAATATACTTTAAATAAATAGAATCTAAAATAATTTTGTTGATCAACTGCATAACTCGTAGATCTAAATCTAGTCTAATACAAAAAACAGGGAAAAGTTAATCACTTACACATTGAGTGAATGTCATTGCTTTATAATCCTGCCATGTAAGCAATTCATCTCCAGAATTACTTCTCAGAGAATCATGTTCTTCCTGTCCAAGAGAAAATTTTGCAAAAATTAATAAAATATTTTTCTTCAATTTAAATATCAAAATCTTGGAAATCACTTAAGGATAGTTTTGTGTACCAAATACACAATAGGGAAAAAATTTCATGATGAAAAGTTGTGTTATATATATATACCAGCAATTGGTTCATGGCTCTTGGACATTGAGTAAGGAAATAGACTGCAAAAAGCATTGTTTTGGTGGTTGTTTCATTTCCAGCAAAGAGAAGATTGATAATGAAATCTGCAACAGCATCATCAGGCAAGCTTTCTTCCTCTAGTAATCTTCCAAGTACTCCATTACCTTCCATGGGAGCACCATTTTTTCTATGTGCCTCTATGATCTTGTTTATCTTGCTTATGATTTTCTCCCTTGCCTGATATCCAAAGAATGTCAACTTCAATACCATTTGACTTGATAATCCCATCCAATCATATTAATCATAGAACTATACTTTATAAAACTAATTTCATTTATCTCTCTGGGGTTTGAATATATGATTGTATATTTTAGAAATTGTGTTGTACCTTCATTGCAGTGTGGTATGCATAGCCTGGAATGTTGATGGGAATGGATAAACAACCATCAACAAAGTCAGAAAACAACTGCGCCATTTCATTGACTTGAGACTCACTTGAAACCCCCAATAGTTGATTAACCATTAAATGTATAGCCACCTGCATTAAATCATGTAAATATTAATTGAAAATGAGTCACCAGTACTGAAACCTGTTTGGATAAACTTTTCAGAAAGTACTTTTAGAAGATACAAATAAGAAGAAAAATCAAAATAAACTTTTCCATAAGTTAAAACTAACTTATACATTAATTAAAAACAAGTTTTTAGATATGCTGATATGAGATAAATTCTACAAAAGAGTTTATAGAGAAGTTTATTTCATTTTTTCTTTTTTTTTTTTCTCCTAAAATTACTTTTGGTGAAGTGTATCCAAACAGATCCTCCGTATTGATGGTAAGCTTACATACAGAAACACATCATCAACTAAAATTACTTACTTTTCTACAAACATCCTGGAGAAAAATGACTTGGTTGTTGTTAAAATTGCTCAAAGTTTGGATCATGACACTTTGTATATCATTCAAGAAATGGAACTTGAGCTTCTCTAGGCGCATCATATTGGAGGCAATTCCATGTAGTTTTCTTTGTTGCTCTCCTTGCACTGTGATCACACCATTTTTACCAACCAAATCTCTGAAAGATTTTGGGTAGCTTGAGATGAATAATCTGCCTTCATTTTGCATTACAAAGCGGTTGAAGCTTGGATCTGCTGACACCACTGCCCATTTTCCAAATAGGCTGCATGAAAATATCTTACCATACCTATGCCAATTGAAGGTTCAGGATTTTGAGCTTATGCCAAATATTCTTTAGCTTAGTTTACAAATAAAGTGAATTCTAAAGAATGACTCTTTCAGAGCCTTTTTCATTAAAAAAAAAAAAAATAGATACAATTTAATAGTTTTAATGTTATTCTCTGATTAGAATTGGAATTTTTGTTAGTAACCTATGTTAACATTCAATGCAAATCTTCATTATATTGATTACCGAGATAAAACTTTAATTCATATCAACCAAAATCAACTATTTCCAAAGCTATAATATATAGGTAGCACGTTTGTTTCTGGTGGCAAATTAGCACTAAATACCTCTTCACCATTTCTTCAACAAACTGAGGAGGATGAGAACTTGCAACAGCATTGTACCAATTGATGCTGTCACCAATCAAAGGCCAGCCTCTCCTTCCTGGTGGTAATCTGCATTTGCTTTTATCTTCCTTCCTTAGCTTGAATTGAATTAGTTTTGCAAATATTGCGGTGGCCAATATCACAGTGATCATAACTAGCCATGATTCTGGAATATGTTCTCTCATTTTCTGTGAGGAATAAAATGGAGAGAAAAGCAAATCACACCTCTAACTGTCAGAGAAAATCGAATATTCACAGTGAGCCAGGCATGTTAATCATTTGACAATGCAAATATATATATATATATATATATTTAAAAAAAAAGGATATGAAAAGGAGGAATTTAAAAGGGGAGAACATGCCTAGTTGACCAACCTTAAGAAGATCTGGTAGGGCCATGCTAACTTAGTATTTTACATGAACAAATCATTCCCAAAATCTATTTTATTAAAACAATTTTGAACATGTAAACATACAATGAAAGTTAAATAAAAAATAGTGGGAACATGATCACAGCATTATTTGGTGAATATGAATCCAATTTTTGTCTTAACATGGGATAATCACACGACATAAGACTCAAAATGTTTACTATATATAAGATTTGTTGACTTTTCACAATCTCACAAAAATACCTCGCCCTAACAACCAAATGATAGATACTATGAATCTTTCCTGTGTGAGAAATACAACCAAGTTTTTTTTGTCTATACTACATGTATCTATCACTCTAGCCAGTCTTATTTGAGTTAGGTAGAACTTTTTTTAGCCTATGTCAAGAACTCAAACTCTAGACCATTGATTAAGTTAAAATAATTACTTATCAATTGATTCTAGTGCTTGTTGGTGAAACACAATCAAGTTGATGATGAAAAGTAGAGCAAAAAGTGAGAGTATTTTTGATACCAAGTGGCTAACATACCTTAAAACTCTGCTGATAGAGTAATATACACAGCATTTAAGAACTTGCTGTGTGTTCCTTCGAACATAGGAGTTTAACTAGAGTTGAAGAGAATCAGAGAGAAGGAGAGGGAAGAAGGTGTGCTGTGATGACTTTATGATTGGAATATATAAGGAAAAGGGTGTCTTAAACTGTTCCAAATGAGTGCTTTTGGTGTGCATTTAATAGTGTCATGAACTCATCTGGTTCAAATTCGTGAGCACAAAACAAGGTGAATGATCATCAAGTAGTAGGGGTTGTCATCTAGAAAAGTTAGCTATAGTTTGACTTGTCCCTCTTACGCTATGTAGTTATGTAGCAATGCATTAATCAATTTGCCACATTTCAGTGACGCAAGACACGCCTTTTCTGAAAAAACAAATCATCTGAGCAAATATTCTAATTGGAGTATCATATTAATTGAGACTATATATAGTAGGAAAGACCTTAAATAGGTGTCTTCCCAGTCATCTTGAACAGACATAATTGACAACCATCAATTAATGTAGGTAACTAGAAGTAGGAGCCACAACTTTATATATCTCTCTATTTAAATCTACGTGGACATTTTGCCATACATTCATCCCTGTACACATTTTCTTATTGGTCAAAGTTTGTGGAAAACTATAAAATATGGAGAGAACCACCTTTAAATGAAATGAAAATTCACTAAATTTTTTATGATTTCACTAAATTTCAATCGATTAGAAGGAGAGTATTCAAATAAATATTTGAGGGAAGGTGTTTCTAATATTTCTTAAAATCTTATAAGTGAAACAACAAATAGTTGACAACAAACTACGTTATGGTGCTTTATAAAATCTAAAAAGCTTTTTTTTTTTTAATAAATCAATTGTATAGTAAAATAATACACCACAACAATAACAACAAAGCATTTTTCAATTAGCCACATGGAAATAATATCATTAAGGTTATTAATGTTAGATGGATTGTGTTGAGGATTTAGAGTTTAAGTTCAAATAAGAGAAACAAAGTTGAGTTGCTAAAATTTAACTCATTTATTTAAATAAGTTTAATTCAAAACTAAAGATTGACATGCTAAAAAATAATAAAGTTTGAATTTAATTTGTTAGGCTTATTCATAATTCAGTTATTTTTTATTTTATGAACAAAAAATATTCAATTATTTCTTAACTTCATCAATTTTCTACAATAAAATATGTACTCAGTATGCGGTATGTGAAATAAAAAAATAATGATAGACTATACAAATAGTATACTTTATGAAAATTTCATTTTTTCTATGATGTACATTCACCGAATTGTTAATGTTGAATTTGTAAAACTTAATATTTCACTCATTTATAATAATCAAACTTAATTGCAAGTTTGATTTTGTTTATTTAATTAAACAAATGAGTTTGATCACATATTTAATAAGTCAAGTCCGAATAATTTACAAATAATTCAACTCATTTCATCCCACTATAATGTTTTTCTTTTGTTTGAAATATAAACAGAAAAATTATTAACTTCGATTTATCTGAAGGATATTATGTGGAAACGATATAGAATTAATATGAGGATATGTGATTGGAAAGTGATCCTATAATTCTCTCATGTTTAGTTTTCATATGAATAGTTTATATTTATATTGATACGCATTTGATAGGCAGGGCATTATTAATGTTTATGAATATTTTAAAAAAATAGATAAATACAAAAACTCCACATGATAAAGTCGTGTAAAAATTTATCATAAAATATGTTCCTATCAAAATTGTAAACTGTAACATAAATCTATCTATAACAAAACAACATATGAAAGTTTTGAAATATTATTTTCAGGCACTCAACCCAAACATAAAAATCTTGCGATCTTCTTTTGTTTTATAATCAAACTATCTTCTAATTGATATTTTTTTTTCTCCAGTTATTCTTTCCATTGATTTATTTGAATTTACACAATTTAAAAATAATTAGAAAATGAGTTATTTTTATGACTTAAACTCCATTGTAAGGTTAATTTATTGGTTCATATTTAACTATGCTTTGTCTCATTTTTAACTTACCTAGTGAAAATATTATAATTAATTTTGATACACTTTTAATTAGTAAAAGAGATCCAACTATGTGTTGCAACGTTTTTATTTACTGGGTGTAATATATAATTAGTTATATAATCAAATTCATAAAATAAGTAATCAGAAAATATTGAATAATAATAATAATAAAATAATAAAATAATAAAAAGAAACTTTTACATTTCCTATACTTCAAAATTAAACTCAACGAATATTAAATAACCTTTCAAAGGAAGTATCCTTTTTTATATGAGTTAATCACCTATACACTGTTAGTGTAAAGTTTTTTTACACTGACAACTAATTATATCTCTTAATTGTACCATGTTACTGTAAACACATTTATTTTTAACTGTGACATAACACAATTAAGAGATATAATTGGTTGTAAGTGTAAAATTTTTTTACATTGACAGTGTATAAGTGATTAACTCTTTTTATATTGTCATACGACGAGATATACATTAAGAGGAAACAATCACTTTATTCTCCAATTTTAAAGGAGTTTTTTATGTAAGTTTTTAAAACTAAAAAAATGTCGGATAAAATCTTGAAACTGCAAATTAATATTTACATTAGCCAAAAAAAACTACAAAAACAAAGTGTGACTAAAATGATAATTAATATAATATATCTTCAGAAATTGAAATAATAATAACTAGTTAAATTTAGAGACTTATTTCACATTCAATTATGTTAAACATTCTAAAATCTTATTTAACATTTTCTTAGTTTTAGAAATTATCCTCACAGTGCTCACTATTTTCAGGGACTAAAGTACTCTATATATTAACACCCTAAACAAGACCTTTCATACTTTATTTATTTATTTTTCTCATCTTTTCACCTGATGTTAACAAACACCAAACCCATTTTGAGGAGGAAATATTCCATTTCTTAGGTCACAATAATGGGTCTAATGGAAATGGAGTTGGGTTATTATGGAGCCACTCAATGGAGAAGTCAAAGTAGTAAAAGCTTTGAATCCCATTTTTAAGGCCTCTTTCAAGGAATGAGCACCCTAAAGCGATGCAGTAAATTATTTAAGCATATAAATGTTTATGTCTTATTGGGTGATTGATGTGCACGCAATTATTATAAATGCCAGCAATGGCCAGCCATGCAAACAATGCCAGTTATGTCAGCAAACAAATGTAGTTTGCTTCAATACAATACAAAATAATCAAAGGAAAATTATAGATACCCTATAGCTTCATCAGCAATTAAAAGTAAGATTAGTTTATTCACCATTTATATACTTATTCCAATAAAGTAAAAAAAGAAAAAGAAAAACACTATTATCTTTGAGTGATGATGTGCATGTAACACTAATTTGCTGTGAGCACACATCTTATAGCTCAAAATAAAGAATATAGTCATTGTATTGGATTGAATGAATAATTTTGTGTACAAGTGTGCCTACAACATGAAATTATAGAAATGAACATTTAAGTAGGATTCTAGGTAGGTGAATAAAAGTCTGGTAACAGAATGAAGTTAACACTCAAGCTTCTAACTAGTTATATCACACATATTAGTATTAACATGCTTATTGTCTATCTCGTAAACATAAATTACTCTTTAGATTTTGATTGTCAACTTTAAAATAATATGTAGATTATATTCATGAAAAAAAATTGTATATTATTTAATAAGCACTCAACGTTTGCCTTTATGCATTAATAATTATTTAATTTGGCCTTTCTAAAATTCAATTACATATTTTGTTTTCTTGAGGCATATAAGTATTATATATGAAATTCCAACATATTGAATTACAAGTAAAGTCCCACATTATTCAAATAAAAAGATATACATGATTTATATACACTTAATTGTCTCCATTAATAATTGTAAAAGATCTTTTAGATGATACTCAAAAACAAAATTATGAGAATTTAAGTTTAAAACGAACAATATGTTATCAATATGGTGACTTGTGTGTGTGATAAAACCTCTTAGTTCAATAACTAAGTTACCATGGTCTTTTATTTAAAAGAGAAAGATTGTTGAAATACAACAAATATTATATAGTCATACTAAAGACCAATTTGACTGAGATTATTTCTTTTTAAGCATGTCGCTCATACTAATAGACACAAGACACACACTAATTGTTTATCTAGGTTGGAAAATTTTTCTATTAAGAGCATTCCAATGATTCTGGGAGACATAACATGAAATGTTGATTAGTGAACTAATCTGAGATGCTTGAATCGGATATGAAATTGACGTTGCTTTTATTTAAAACAGTTGAGAATTGGCGTTTCTTGTTTGCGAAAGCCACCACATTAATTTTATCAACAAGCATCTTGCAGTGTAGAATATACAAATTACTTGAGTTATAGTTATCTTGCAATATCAGCTAAGAGCTGTCATTCTTCAATTTTATATTGCAATGTTGTGCCAATGGTTCCTCTACATGATGAAATCACTGACGCAGTTTTGTTTTCCACAAAAGAAATATATGAACAAATACTATTCAATTCAAGCAGGCAAAGGGCACAACAAATATTAGCCTCTCATTCCCTGCAATTTATAAATGCACACGTTTGTTGCAACTTGCAACATGGATCTTTCTTATTAGAATTTTTGCTATATAATAATATTTATAAAAACAAAAACAAAAAAAAAACACAACAACAACAATAACAACACCGGTGAAACATATATATATATATACTTTCTTACTACCAAAATAATTTTTGTTGCTAGACTAAATGCTACTTTTTTTATTAAAACATATAGTCACCAAGGCCAAAAGTCACCTTCACACTAAAGCTGAATTCTATTTAATGTTGCATGTTTTCTACGAGCTCCAGCTCTTTCCTCTTATTGTGACAATCCCAGATTTGATTTTAATCCTTACTTTTAGAAAAGTTTCATCCTATTCAAAATAAATATTACTACCTTTACCTCTATATATAACCCAATCACCTAATTTACCATAATTAAAAAAAATAGTTAATTTAATTAATAATAATAAATTTGTCCTATTTATATATTTTTTTCTGAAACAACACTTCCACTACTTTTCTTTCCTAATTAATATTCATATATCTTCTAACCAATTGAAGTACATGCTTTACACTTTCTTTTTTTTTTAATTAATGCTCATCTTTTTTCTAGCTAATTAGAATGTATATTCTCTAATGAATTTATAATTAATGTATTTTAATTAGAAATATATTAGTCTAAAAATAATTAATATTTAAAATAGTATGAATTGAATCTAATATAAAAAAAATACAATTATTCAAAATTGGATCTTGTAAATAAAATCAGAAATAGTATCTTGTTTCCCATTTGTACTTGAACACTTGATTATTGTAGCTATTTTGATAATCAGGTATTGTTGAACCAAAAAAAAAAAAAAAGTGGCTTCTTATGCGGCAACATATCACACTCCCAATTTCTTAGCAGCAGCATTGTCTTCAAATAACTAATTTTTTTCATTCCAATTGCAAAATATAATTTAAAATAAATTAATACTAGATATATCTTTTATTACTTTAGACACAAAATAAATACAATGCAACTTGCAAGCCTTCATTGTGACACATGAGGAACCTTTTCACATGGTCCACTACCCTCAAATGTCTCCTACTCATTGCCTTTCGAAGGCAATGTAACAAACTATATACATCAATCCAAGAATCTCTTAGTAAACAGATACCTGACATCGGAATATCACATTATCCTTATTCAAATCCCAATATTACATATAAAAATAACATGTTGCAAAAATATAAAATAAAAATAAAAAAAACCCATCCCTATTAATGAATACAACACGGATGCAGAACTAGTTTTTATTGGACTGTCATTTCATTTGTGCATATGGGATGGCAGAGAGCCAATCAAACAATACCCAGCTTTACATGTAACCTGAATTGTTGTCCTCTCTACCAGATAGCATGGAAAAAAATATATTATATTATATCATATCATGCATTAAACAATGCATAGCTTTACATGTCATTTATAACCTGGACAGTAGTTCACTGCCAGATAATATTCGGCATTGAGAGTGCAACATATGGTAGATGGTCCTAACATAAATGTATTATGTAGGGCATCACATTCTAATTTTTCCATATTTGAACATCGCTCAGATAACAGACAGGAATGGATAGACGTTTTAAAGTGAAAGGACAGATGAATATAAGCACGATGTGACAGTTAACTTTTTTATATAACTCCAAATAACAATAGTTTCTAATCACAGCAATTGGTGCTCAATGCTTCATGCTCATGCTCTGCTAATTTGGACAATATAAAGAATATAATTTGGATGGAGAGTAATCAGTATATTTAATACTGGAAATAAAAATTTCATAAACCCTACCAATTCAATTTTTCCGACTCTCATGTCTATGGTAAGAAAAACTGCGGTCCTTGAAAATCTATTATTCTCAAGTTGGTTATTCTTAGAAAGCTATCCAAAATGCAAAAGCCTCCCCATCATAAATAGATGTGAAAACTGACCTTGGCTTTCTTGCACCCTCTCACCCTTCCACTCTGCACCTCAAATTCATATATGAACACAACCCATAAACAAAAGTTGAGTAAGGGAGCAAATTGCAACAGCGTGCATTTCCTTTCCTATTGTTCACAACATAGTGAAACACATTTACAATGGGAAATTAATTTACTGGATTGGGAATCAAAGTACTGATTTCCTCCGAGATGGGGCCAATGGAAAAGAGGAGCTAGAAACTCACGTGCAACTGTCTTACATTTAAAATGAGCAGCCAGCTGGATCATTGAAGATACTTGGCAACAAAACCTCTGGAAACGTTGAAGGATAGCAAGAAAGGAGAATAGAATTTGCAAGAACATGCCAGCTAATAACAAGTTAAAAAGAGCCAGGAATCTCATAAATCCTATATATACCGTCCGTCTGTGTTGTACAGTTAGATCAAGTTTCTTACCGTTGCACCATAAACCTTCATAAAGCTTCAAAAAATTTTCCAGATATCCATGATGCCATTGGCAAATGACTTCAGATTTCCCCAAAAAGTTGATTTCTCTGAACCCACTGCATCACTGGTCTCCCTATTACTAGAGCTGTCACTGGATATTTGTGAGAATGTAAGCAACCTTAATATCCCATATAATTTTGCCAGAAAAATGTAGACATGAAAAGAAATGGGGTCATATTAAGAAAATAAAGAAAAATCTGGAAAGATTGCACAAAAAAACTGTATGTTCTTTGCGCATGCAACCATCCATGAATGCATATTTCAGGAAAAATACACATTAGTTTCAAAACACAAAAAAAGTATATATAATTTATAATCCATAAATGTGCAAAGAAGATGAACCGGTATGTGGTATCTATTATGCTCTGATGACTAGCACAAGTACCACATACTTCAACTCTTGTGTGTGTATAATTTTAGTCTACAAGCACAAGTAGATATATTTGTGCATAGAACTTATAAGTTGCATCATCAACACAAGTACTATTGTTTTTCTCTTTGGAACCTTTTTTTCTTTAACTTTATGATTCTTTCATTTCATTAGTATAAAATTATACTTTCATGTAAACTATGTCGCAACGTTTAATTTTTAGACATTAATTAAGACCCAAGGTAACATGCTTTTTTGGATTTTATGTTGCTCTTCTAGTATTCTCTCGGTATATTAAACAGACTCAGTATGTGGGTGTCAGTGTTGTGTTTTTGCTTATTTGTATTGTATATTAACAAATCCTAATTTTACAATTATCTACAAGTGTTTTTTGTGCTTCTCTGCATTATTGTTTAAACTATTATTTAAATTGGAAGTTGTTTATCAATGTTTAATGCATAAACACTGCAGAGTGCACATGGAATATTTAACTGCGCAATTACATGTATCCTCACAACACCCATTTTCTGTATCAATCCAACATCGTTCACAAGTGCTAATATTTTTCAAGTTAAAATGCAAAAAAACAAAAAAATATATTGTAATGGTTATAATAATAAATTGGTTTTCGGTTCCCTGAGTATTGCATGCACAATTTTGGTCTCCAAGGTTCCAATTTCATGGATTGGATCCTCCAAGTATTGTAATTATGAAATTTTAATCCCTTCATCGGTCTTCTATTAAATATTTAACATTTTTTCTTGGGTGATGATGTGGCAGCTAACATGTTACCTGTCACATGCTAACATGACTTAATTACACTTTTGGTTCCTCATGATTGTGATACTAGAGGGACCAAAAATGTAATTAAGCCATGTCAGCATGTGTCAGGTAAAATGTCAGCTGTCACGTCATCAACACACCATCATCTAATGCCACATTAGCAAGATCTATTAAATAGTTAATAGAAGGTTAACGCAGAGACCAAAATTACACAATTATAATACTTAAAAAACCTAATTCATGCAATTAGGATTCAAAAGACTAAAATTACTCAATTACAATACTCAAGTGACTAAAAGAACAATTAAGTCTAATAAAGCTATGCATCTGAAGATATGAAAGGACTTACGTTTTGGACTCATCCAATTCTAAAGACCTTTGAGATTGCTCTATTTTATGCATTGGACCATCCACAGCATCTTGCCCTTCTCTCTTGTATCCTGTTTCTTTAAAGCTCTTTTTCTCAATTGCTGAATGGTTTTCCATATCAACAAATTTAGAATCATGACTCTTACCTTCACCGAGAGATTTTTCAATAAATGGAACAGAAAATTGTTCAATTTCTTCTTTTAGTAGGTGTCTTTCTTGTGTAACAGAATCGGAAGAACTAGATACAGCTTCCCCATTTGGCACCTGGGAACTTGAATGGGAAAGCTCTCTAGACAGGTCTTTCAAATCAGGTTGCTCCTTTCTCTCAGAATCGGCTTCCTTAATGCACTTTCCCTCCACTTTTTGATGATTTTTTATATCAAGAAAATCATATTCGAGGTCCTGAGCTTTGTCATAACCAGTACTATTTTTTTGACTAAATGAAGGAGAAGAATGTTCTCTTTCCTCTTGTAGAAGCTGACTTTCTGGTGCAAAAGAATCAGATTTAGAGACAGCTTCCTCGGTGTTAATATCATTTGGCAAATGGAGACTGGATGGGTAAGGCTCCTTAGAACACTTCTCCACGAGATTACTTTCAGATGCAATGCAATAGTCACTCTGCCATTAAAACAGAAGGTAAATTATAAGTATCACAAGGAAAAATTGCTCATTTTCTTAATATAATAAAACATTATTCAATTAATATTATTAAAAAAATAATAACAATTAACAGTGAAGATTTAGGATGCCAGAACCAAATGTGATGCAATTTTCCCAAAGTAGATCAATTAGAAAACTTATGATTCCTCTGCATTCATTTGTATGTGACTTCCTAATAGAATGCATTTATTAACAATTAAAGTTTTTCACAATTTATATGCCCACTACCTATTTTGATGCCAGGTATAGGATAAAGTGGTTTAAGTCTGAAGCTTAGCAAATTTAGGGTTACTTTAGTACGGGTTAGAAAAAAGAATGAAAGTGTATTCACAATTTTACTACTATAATTGATCCATGAATTCTTCACTCCCTAAGCTTTTTACCAGATCAAATTGTCCCTTTTAGGGAGCGTTTGATACGTGGAATTTTTTACTTTCTCAAGAATCTAAAGTTTGAAATGTTAATTTCCCATGTTTAGTTTATCATCTAAAAATAGCGTTCCTAGGAAACATAGTTTCCCGGGAATTTTTTTATATAGGTTTCCCACCAAATTCATGAGGGTAGATGGGAATCTAACATTCTTGAGTTAAAAGGAATGTTTTAATGGGTAAAAATATTTCGTTATCTTAATTTGTCTAGTTGATACAGTAAAAATCTTTGATTCTCATGTAACATTTATAAACATTCTCAAAAACATGTATGACCAGCCAAACAGATTTAATCATTCCTGAGAATCATAATTCCCAAGAACCATGATTCCTGGGCATGAAAAAAAAATTCTTCTACCAAATGCCCCCCTTGGAGTAAACTAGAACAATAAAATGTTCAAATTTCAGATCAAAATTAAATATTAATTATCAGAAGCATTCGACAATAGACATCAAAATAATCTTTTGAGTCAGCAATGTATTTACATTTGAATAAAAAAGATTGCAAAATACAAATTAAAATAATTTGACTTTACCCTTTTGGTCACTACAAGATATTTACACCTAAACAAGAATGAATATAACAAAAATCATACTCTGATCAGGTAGACCTAGGTCCTAGCCTCCTAGGAGCATTGCTTATTTGTAACTACTATATTTAATATATTCATAACTAAAAGTGGTGCTTAATGTTGATGCTTACCGGTGTGGACGTAATATCAACTTCTTCAGACAACCTCCCCTCCCAATAGGAAGTCTGTGGCTGTCTCTTGTCTTCAAGATGCTCATAACAAATGTTAATGGTCTCCTTGTCATCTAAAACTACCGATTGAGAATTGTCTTGGATCGGGCAGTCTTTAGCGATCTCAATATTACCAGATGAAACATTAACAGATTCAGTGGTAAGAAGTTTACTCTCATCAAATTGCTTTTCCACCAAAATCTCATCCACACCCTTTGAAGAATTCATTTTAGACTTATATTGTAGCTCCAAAACGATTTCCCGGACAACATAATAACCACCACCAGCTTGTTTCTTGGTATCTGATATTGTTGGGAATTTCCCAGCATTCTCTGCTCTATACCTGCAGAGAAAAACGACATTTATTCAACAATAAGTTATAAGACACAGTTCTACAATAACAGAAGTCCATATCATTGAATAGTTAACCAAAATCCATATTCCGTAAACAATGGCAGTGTTTCTGATGTTGACATTATTCTTTCACGAATAAAAGAAGGGATCTTCTAGTGAAATCCAGTTTTTCACCATGAAACAGAGACAATATAAAAAATGAAGGTCGTGTGTATTCTCCTTTTCTGTCCTTAAGAATCCCCTTGTTGCACCTCAAGGAATAAAACTCACACAAATGTGAGATATGTAAAGATATTGGTTATTCCCGTACGAACTAAACCAGAAAGTGACCTGAATACCTTAAGATAGAACAACTTAAAGAATTTATGTAAACACGTTCTATTGTCAACCATAGCAGACAAAAGATTGGCATTTAGCTCAAGCACGAAGATGAGAAAAGTTGAATAAGTGTTTTTTTTAATTCCTCCTACCAATAATTTATTCTATTACCCTTTATAAATTGTTGGGATGCAATAAAATTGTTGACTTTATTCTTGTTTTAAACATGAAGCTGGGTTATTTACTTTTGAAATCCTTGCATTTGGATGAATGTCTTCTGGTCCCAAACAGTAGGTTTCTAATAAAAATGTGGATTTTGTATTAGTCTGCTGAATAGACAATATAAAGCATATATAATTACTAAAAATGACAAAAACAAAGGGAGAAAAATACTATAATATAATAGAATATGCCAAATTATTTTAATTTTAATTTTAATTACATGCAAAAAATAGTCTAAAAAGGTCAGGTATGCTGCAACACAAGGATCGCTGACTAACTGGTACACAAAAATGCCAGGATCAAGCATAATGCAGGAAGCTCATAAACAAAGAAATACTTGTTCACAAATGACTCCACCATAGCTCTCCTTTCTTGTCTTGTAACCCTTTTTCGGCCTTTCTGGGCATCTGGTTCATCAGAAGAGACAGAAGCAGCATATGACCATCCACGCTGCTGGACTTTCAATGGATCAACAGAGTAGCATACCTCAAAGGATACTGCCAAACAACACAGTAGATATATGATCAGACGATTCAACAATGGAATCAATATCCCAGTAACAACAATTCCAACAGAACACATTGCAAAACAGTAATCAATACTAACAACTAGAACCTCGAAAAGTTTAAAAAATACCGGTTCTCATTGATATACTTCAAAAAGAACACAAAGCATTCAATAGATAAAGGCTAGCAAAACTACAATAAGCTCCAATAAATGCTTCCCCAGAAAATAATAATCAAGAGCACGAAGACAAAACCTTAGCCATATTTCTATGGAAGAAAAAGAACTCAATCCCACACATGTAACTATTCCAAAATCCCAAACTATTCCTCTTGGCTCTTGCTTTAAAACATTCCTCAAACTATTCCTCTAGCTTTAAGATCAATAGCCAAATTCCATCCAAACATGACAAACATAAGAAAAACGTGACAACGTCACTGACCCAATCCCCACCCTTTTTCCAAACTCCATCCAAAACATAAACACACCCAAAAAAAAATCCGCAAACCCCAACAAACATAAGAAAAACATGACAATGTCAGCGAACCAATCCCCAATTCTAACGTAATCTCTACGCAAATGAAACTAAACACGGGACTAAGCCTAAACTAATTAAATCGCCACGAAATAGTGTCTAGAACAATACCTTGATAAAGGAACGAGCTTAGTTTCATTCTATGTCAGTGAAAAAAAATAGAAAAATCATTTGTAAATAACACAAAAACTTGAAGAGTGGTAATCTGAGAAACCCAATAGATGAAGGTAATGAGAGGGAAGAAAGTTACAGTGATTGGAGCGGAAGGAGAGGCCTTTTGTGGTTGCGATCAGAAGCTTCTTCCTCATCTCATCTATGTCCAGCGAGAGAGAGAGAGAGAGAGAGAGAGAGAGGGTTTAGGGTTTTACGGGTTGCGTCATTCAAATCCCAAAACGCGCAGAAACTAACATCGTTTTTTGCGTTTCGCTGTTTCCGAATTCGATTTGCGCTTGCAGCGGGTGAACCTAACGCAAAATTACATTCAATATTATTTTATGGACATGAAATTTATGGTTTAGTCATTTTGGTCTCATTTTTATTTTTTTACCCCGACCTAAAATTCTCTTTCTATACTAAGAATAAACTGATATTTTTAATTATAACTTTACATTAATCGAACTAATTTTTAATCAAGATATATAGAATTATTTGTGCTAACAATTTTCAATAATCCTTTTGGTTGTTATAGTTTACAAATGAATAAATGATTAACAAATGAACTATCACCCATATTCTAAGATAGTCCTTAAAATTTTATAAATAATCTCTTAAATATTAGAAATTGTGTGAGTATTGAAAGTCCTTCAAACTATTTGCTAAAAAACTCGGGCATTCAATACTTTAAGAACAACTTATATAATTTTGTTAGTTTAAGGATTTTTTTTTAGAGACTGTTATACTTTAAAGACTAAATTCATGGTCGAGTGTTTACCAACTTTATTTTTTTCTCTACACTTAAAAATCATTCATTTTAATCCTTTTACAATTAATTACTTTTTTATCCTTATTGTTAAAAAAAAAAACTAACTCTATAAATTGTGGATGAAATGACACTTATAACATTGACTTATATTGACTTTACATTTTAGTTATTATACTTTAACTATTCATACATTTTGATTTAAATACCAGCACAATTTTACTTTAATCTCTACACTTAAAAAATATTCGCTTTAGTTCTTATAGGAGCAATATTTGTTATGTTTAGCTCTTATCAACATTTTCTCATTCTTTCTTCCTCACCCTTCTTTTAATCTTCCTTTTTATCTCTTAATTATTTTATTTCTCCTTGTCAATACCTCTTTCTTCATTGTACTTTATAGATTATGTTTCTTTTAAATTATTTTATATCAATTAATTTGTATTGACTCTAAATTAAAAAATCTTAATGTTGCATCTATTTGAGATTGTTCCAATTTATTTAATAGTTTTAAATTTGAGTCCTAAATATATATATTTTTATTAAATATGAAAGAATTTTGTTATCAATAGAAATTTTATTTAATTCAAACAAAATTTACAAGATATATGTGATTTATAATATAT